GCCAATTCTATCAAGAATGACTGACGCAATACAGTTCGATTTGGTGAATTCTTCGTCACATTACTGCGATTCTTGTTAGCAAGGGTATTTTCAGTCTACAATCTGCAGAAAACGAAATTATTCCGATTGAGAACTGATAATTCTTTTTTCAAAGAATAGTAGCTCAAAACGTGACCTAATATTGAACGAGATCGCAAAAAAAAAGCTTTGTTGGCTCCTCTTCAGATTCACTCGGTGCCCTTTTTTTTCCGGCCAGCGGAAGCATGCGTAAGATTATCTCACGATAGTTTCCAATGTGAGGGTCACCACAAAATATTATTCAGGTAGAACACATAGAGAGCATAATTGAAAGCATGACGCTAATGGGAGATAGCTGGAAAGGTTAAGAATGGAGAATACAGGTGCAAACGAAAAACTTGAAAAACAGAAGGTAAATTTTTCATCTTAAATAAACCCTGGGGTAAACATTCCCCTTGTTACTTGGCGGAAAAGGTGTCAGCACCTGCACCTGCCCCACCAAAAAAAATTGTTTTCTCTTTCACGCCGCACGAAAAATGTCCTCTTCAGACTCATAAAAGCCGAGTTTTTTTTTTTTGTTAACTTCATGAATATTCTGGCTTTCAGATCACCTGACTTCATCAGCTTTATAAATAGCTTTTCCACTGTAAGATTTTTACACAAGGTTACCACGTAACCATCTCTGCTTCCAAATATAACATTTCCGTTTACAATTTTTCTCTTCAACTGGGAGTCGTTAGTTCGTCTTTGACACGACAAAGACAACCTTGGCAGATTTCCACCATCCTTGATGGTTGCCTGGACTATGCCTCCCTTTTTCAAGTTGTGAATAACTTTTTGTATTTGTCTTTAACAAGTTGCTAAGGGAGATAATTTTTTTTAACCATTCATACGAAAACATGTCCGGAAAAAGAGAAGCTTCAGTATTGCTTGGAGTGTTTTCAACAACGGAAGAAGAAAATTAACATACTTTCTTTGTCTGTCCGTGTTATTTGCTGTGACGTATTCCAAAAACAGAGCAGTTATGTTATTAAGGTAGTTTGCTTGTTACTTTAAACTGAGTGCAGGATTTGACTTTTGAATTGGTTAAGCGCTGGCAGCGCCAAGACCAACGGATGAATGAAACAGATTAATTATAGTTGAATGAAAGTTTGTTTTAATTGAGCCATTCAGACACGACTCGTTTGACATCCTTTAATTTTCAAAAAAACCATTAGGACACGTTTCATGATGGTAGCTGTCATTTCTACCATGGATAAGTTTTAGCGCTAACATAAATGAAGTTAACTTTCATGTAGCCTTTTTTTTCAGTTTTTTAGAGTTCGACTCTTCTTGTCGCCATCAGGCTTTAAGAATGCAGGACTCGATAAAACTTACTTATTCGTAGCAATGGCTAATTGTTTGTTCGTGATCGTTCCTCGCGGTTCATAATTAATCATCAAGGAGCCTGTTTTCACATGCCACATCATCATCAGTGATATTTAGACTGAAAATGTTAATATTTCAACCCAGTTGAATCTGTGAATTATGAATATCATTAATTCTTCTAGTGTTGTAGTTCAGTGCACTAGCTATCAGTTTTTTAAATCGAGCGACTGCAAAGCCATCTTGCAACTCTTCTCCTTAGAGCCACTCCAGATTTATTTCAAACGCAGTGGTTTTCCAGTCCAAATTCTCTGATAAACCAGCCCTTGATTCTGTCTTCTAGTTCAGGGTAACTCATTTGCGCTCCTGTAGCTCCCTTGTTCTTCAGCACGTGACCACAGAAATCCGCATTCGGTTCAGTATTCAAGGGGCTTTTAGAAGCTAAATTTTTGGCAAAGATTTCTGGAAACAACGATTTAGCTGCTAAAGGAACTTCTCTCGCACAAGATTCCGCTTTGGTGAAAGTATGAGACGAACTGAACGAATTCAGACTACCACAGCTTGAGGTGGTGCTATTTGAAGAGGAGAATTGTTCATAAAATACCTCTTTCTTGAAAGTTCCTTTCCAACTTTCTTTCCTAGTCATCTTCGGCAGTTCGTGAGTCATTTCTCAGCTTCGGCTCATGAATTTTTTGGTTCAGAAACTTGACAATCCTTTTAGTGCAGAGGAAACAACTAGCAGATCTGTACACCACATTTGAAGGCTAATGACAATCGAACGACTTTACATCAGCTGCCTTACTCTTTTTGTGAGCAAAAGGATAAGTTACGTAACAAATGCTCCAAACATGTGGCGAGACGCGTGACTCGTTTGCATAATAATCACAAAAAGGCAGTTTTGATCTTCAGCCATCTATTGGACCGTGTGATCTTTGTTTAGTGATTTTCTAAGAGCGACATCAAAATCGCAAAAAACCTTTAAAAAATCTTTCAGAATTTTCTCCACAACATTGACATTTAAGAGACTCCTGGCACAGGACGGTCTAATTGAACTTCTCTTAGAGAACATTTCGTAAAAATGTTACAAACAACTGAACTAAAATATATGCAATAAAAATAGACAACGATGCAACCGAGATAAACGCATCAATTAATCCTTAGAAACGTTCTCCGCTGCAGGCCATCTGGTTAAAATGAATTTGATATCAAATGATCGTGCGATTTTCAACATTATAGAACCCCTCGGCCACAAGACTGCCAAACAATTGCTTCAAAGGACTGCTAACATTGAACAACGTGGGCTAACGTGCCGAAAAAAAAAAAACCTCCCAAAAGGTGTTAAACAATGCTCTATATTCGCATAGAAAGGACTTTTGTTAAGATAAACACTTTCTATACTCGGCCGAAAATAGATCAATACCCAATACCATATGTTGTTGTTTCCTTGTATTTTCCGTCTCTACTGAAATATTTTTATCATCTTTTCCATCTTTATTTCTTTTTTAGGTACATGATTGTTAAGAACTAAAGATCTTGTTCAGAAACTGAATCAGATCTAAACAGAGAACATCCCAACGAGTTCACACGAGGTTGTTTCTTTCCACCATTGTCTAAGACTAAAAATAACTTCTCGTCCTGAAATTCGTGGGGTACACCTTGACATCCTGAACAAATTTTTAGGAAAATAACACGATTCTCGCAATTGTAAGCGAATTCATTTTTGTTGTAAACTCTATCATATATCAGCGTCTTAGGTCATTTCTATGGCCAGATTGTGTTGTAAGAGCAAACATAAATTAAACCTAAGAGGATAACAGATGGTGATAGTGAGATTCCTTTTCCGTCAATCTGCTGTTTGTTGACGTACTTCCTGTCTGTGTTTACTTGTATTACACCGCAATTTGCAGCGAATATAGTGCCGAATATCTAGACAAACTGGTCAGCGAATCAGGCATAGGCTACTGTGTCCTACTGTGTCCCACTACCATTTTAATAACAAAGTTTTGTTTCGAAAGAACATCTTAGTTTCATCCACACTTCTCGTCTTCAAATTTCAGCGAGAAAAACCCCTCCCCGGTTGGTAAATGGATCCTTATTAAATCTTCGTTGGTTGTTACATAACAAGGGGCATAAAATGTTTCCAAGTAGCCTCAGAATTTTTTTTTTTTTTAATGTGCTTTGTGCTACTTACGACAGTTGTTTGGTGCAGAAAATCTGCACTTTGGGTTGCATTGTCGATCTTGTATCCCGCCACATTCTATTTTGTGAAAGTTTCCGCTCTGAATCAATCCTCAGAGATTTAATCACAGGCGTATTTGATTTAATAATGTAGTCCGAAAACCATAGATTGTTTCCTTTGGCTCCAAAGCTGATAGGAAGAGATGTGAAAGTCTACAAACCGACAATTATTCTGCCTTTAGTTACCGTCGTTAACTCCTGAACGTTTTAATTGACGCTTTTTATTTATATATTCCTCTCCGCAGCGGTTTTAATCACTTTTCTTTGATTTCCTTTGAATTTTTTTCTTTTTATTGCAAAGATCATATTTATTTGCTTTGCTATTCTACTCGTAGTTTTTTACATGAATAAATTGAGCATGTCAAAGCAGACTGAAGGCAAATAGAATTTTATCATATCGCCAAATCGTCGTCAAATAACAGTTACTAAGTAAAGAATGATTCTTCTCCCACAGAGCGCGCTTCGATTGTGTCAAAAAAAAAAAAAAACTGCAAATTAATCACAACTGTCAATCAGAACAAAGGAAAGTTTCACAAGAGGCCAATGAGAATTCAAAGTAAACCATGCGAACAGCTCTAAGCGCTGGAATATATGTGGCGCAGTCACTTTTGTTCTCCATTCGCATGTGATTAGTTAAGAAGGAAGCGCTAGTGGAGCTGGGCTCGTTTGTCAAGGGTCCTGGTAATTGAACGGGCCTGTAGCGTTCTGTTTTCATCCAAGATGGGGGTATAAAAAATTTTGAGAATTATACAATAAAATTATCAGCTAAAGAAATAAAATGGTAAGGGTGCTAGAACCTGCTTCTCCATTCACTTTTGCTTTTAAAATATGGCTCCCGGGCCCGTTAAGTTACCGGGACTTTAGCTTATGTCGGCCGATAGCATTAGAGCTGTATGTATATACGAGATAAACAACAGTAATGCAATATCCTGTATCACTTTCGCTAGACGCCGAATCAAAAATTGCTTTTATTGCTTATAACGATAACCTCTGCAATAAATGTTTCCCCATCTTAACGACACATCCATAAGATGGCAATTGTCTCACAGGGACCGCTGGACTTTGATTCGATTTTGATTTTGAAGATCAACTAGGGTTATTAGAACACTCAGTACGTTTCTATAACCGCAGTTCAGATATATGAATTTCGTATATTCGTTGTGTTTAAACTATCTTCCGTTTTTCCTTGATCTTGCTTTTCAGTTTTCGAGATCTTGTTGAAATTTCACGAGACGCAGGATTGGCGCCAAGCTTTAGAGACTTGCGTGCCCCAAAGGAAAGGACTGGTGTTGAAGACATCGGCTGAATAAAGATCCCGGATGGGTTTTTCAGGACGATGTAACTTTGGTCATTTACGGAAACACTTCGAAGACGTGTCATAATTTATGCAAAATTGCAAAAGGTTCTGGTATTGTAATTTATGATGATGTTATTTACAACAGTTTCGGTCAACGCTGAACAACAGACAATACCAAGCGATATTTCATATCTTTCAAGATCTTCCGGGGCAGTTAGTACGTTCCAGATTGGAAAATACCTCTAGTTGTTCCATAACTAGTTTCTGTTTACAGAAAACTAGTTATAGAAAATTACTGTCGATGTTTGTTCTTGTTAATAGCATTTTAAAGACAACCTCTTTTTAAATAAAGTATGAAGTCGATTCTTCAGGATTTTAAATCAAGATGTGCTTTAAAGTTGTTTGCATACGACAAAAAACTGTTTTTGTGATGCACTACACTGGCTCCATAGGACAACATGTCTGTCATAATCTACCATACTAACACCCCTGGTCAAAGAAATTCAATCACGACTGTGTAGGGATGGGTACGTAACGGTTTGAGGCTAAGTGCTCCTTAAGGTAGTCTGCGCCTTTCTCTTCGTATTCCTGTCTTGTAACACTCACTGCTTGTAGACTGCTTAGTGACTTCGCCCACTTACGAGCTCCATTCCAGGCGTCCAGTACGGGATTGGCTATGTAAGAATTTAAGTAAATTAAGGTGTCAAACATCTGTCGGAGGGCGTGGATCAAAGACAGATCGCAGTCCTCCACAAGTGAAGGATCCAACAACAGCCAGATTTATGCTTGGCGGGTTAGAGCACCTTTAGATTTGGTATCGTTAAACCAAAAACAGAGTAATTAAAACGGCCATTCAAAAAAAAAATAAATAAATAAAAAAAGAAAAAAAAGAAAAAAAGAAAAGAAAAAAATATAGCATGAAGAACCAATGAAAATTAAAGTACACACAAACTGCCTGATAAAACGCAAGTGAGCAAGTGCGTACTGAAGTAAAACCAACGCAACCCTAGAATACTTCCGACACTCGGTTGTGTATGAATACAAGGTTGATATTGTTGCTTAGAAAAATGTGGAACAACAGACTCTGCACCCCATCTGCAGAGTGATCAACTAAGACTGTCTGCTGACTGCTCTAACGGGGCAAATTTCGATCTTGTAACCCGAAAACAGGTAATCGCAATGATCGGTCAAAAATAAAGGAAATAAACACCAGAGGCAGATGAGATCTCAAAATGAAAGCAAGCAAACTGCCTGAAGCGCAGCAAAATACAAGTGACGGGAATCGTGATTGCTATCAGTTTTGCTCTCGATTGGTCGAGAGAATGGCGCAACTTTCCATGAACAAGTGCAGAGACTGAAAAATTACTTTCGACACAATTGAAAAACTCTCTCTAAAAGGAGACTTTAGACATTTGGTATCTTTCGCCGCAAGATAATGCTTTCATGACGGTTATTATTGGAACAAGCTCGTTTGTCTACCTGCTTTAAAAACTTTAAAGGTCGATTGGAATGGTCGGATGGCGAGGAGTTCTCTCTCCAGACGTTCTTGAAAGTTTGGAAACTTGGTATTTCCTCCAGTCACGAACACGTTCTAAGGAGATGAAAAAAAGGGGCAGGTAAAGCTGTGTTGTAAGTTTCGAAATTCACTCGAATGACGTCCGAGCTTTACATTCGTAGATCATAAAGGCGTCACAAAAGCAAAGGACATACCAGAAAGACAGCAGAGTTAAGAATTATAACAAAAATTTTATTCTAACTGATAAAATGCCAGTCACTCAGTCAACAGGGTTCTCAATAAGTTTTGATGTAGACGGCTGAAACATAAAAGTAGGCGGCGGGAGAAGCGAGTACCAAAGGCATGAACCTCTAAGAGGGTCTGGCAGCCTGCCCCCTCCCCTCCCCTCCCCTCCCTAAGGCGATGGGTAGATCTAAATGTTCTTCTCACATCGATCTGTGACATAAACTGACAACTGTTTTCAACGAGCTCATGTCTAAACTATAATACAAAACAGTTCATCTACGGTGCTGTCAAACTACACCAACATTCCCACCCCTCACATGTAGGGAACAAGGTATGAGCTAGTCAATCATAAATAAATATCCTACCTGCACTAAAGCTGTCTGTAAGTCTGTTGAGTAATGATTGAGTATGAAATCTATTGTTTCAGAAATGCCAGCTTGTTCAATGCCCAGCATGGATGGTTGATATACTATTTCGGGGACTCTACAACGAAAAAAAATAAACACCAAAAAAAATATATGTAATATGTAATATATATATATATATATATATAATAAAATCATTCTCACATTACTCTTTCTGGTCTCTAAACTTGAACCTAATATTATGTTGGCGCTATTTGTCAACGCTTAACATGGCAACGTAAGCGCGGTGACCTTGTGAACTGATCACAGCAAACAGAAATTAGTTCATCTCCATGAAGCGTCTTCTTTCCCATGGCCAGACCGGTTCATTTTTGGGAAAAAAGAAAAAAAGAAAGAAAACTAAAAGACAAAAAAAAACAAGGAAAGATACCCGGCGGTTACCCTGCAGTAAGGCGATTCCCTTCTAAATTACCTTATTCTTTCTACACCAAGGTGTAATTGGTAATACTCTGCCCAATCAACAGCAGTCTCTGGTTTGCCTCCAAAACGTCTACAAAGCAAGATAATTTATCGTTGTTAGTGAAAGCGGAATGAAACAGCCCGTGGGGAATTCCTATACGTCAAGAGCTTTAACAATTTGCAGGGCTGCCTTGCGGGTGTGGTTTTTGTTATACACATGGGCCATGAGTTCAGTTTGACAACTTAAGAACGTATTACAGTGGAATCCCGATTTCTTGAACCTCCAGGGGAAATGCAAATTGGTTCGAGAAATCGGGGGTAAAACTATTGAAAAGTATTGAAAAAAAAAATTATTTTTAACAAAGGAAATTCTAGATAATCGAGTGAACATCAACAAGGAATAATTAAAGATCTCTCTGTTAAATTGTTAGCATAATGGTGTTAACTTGTGAGTATCGTTACAAGCTCGTTGCATGCAAATCATAAAGAAAATCTAATTAGATTAACTAGATTTTCTACAAATAAACAAAACCGATTTTAAAGGCCTGTTTATATTTATTCAAGTCGCCATGGCAACGGCACCTACGTCAGCTTAACTATCGAAAAAAACAAAGCTTGTGTTGTGAACTTGCTTGCTGCCAGTTTTGGCGACCGAGAGATCAAGGGTGCCAGAGAAAATGGTGAAAGAAACACAGGTATCGAAAACTGTGTTGAGCAACCTTAACAAAAACTTTAGTTTCGATTTGCTATAAATCGAAAGAAAACTGAACTTACTTTGAAAAATCGGGATCGTGTTTCTTAAGTAGATTTTCAAGCTCGTTCAGTTCCTCCTGTTCTTTTTCGCTATCGGAGTCACCCGCATCCTTATTCTGTGGAAAAGAAAACATCTCCTAATTAGAGCAACTTTCGATTGATTGCAGAAAGATATCTGAAATTGCTTTTATTTTCCTTCACTACGCTCTGATGTTATTGGTCCAAAAAATTCCCGCCAAACTTTCTATCAATCAATAGGCTCCCAGGGGACGTACCTCATTGCTTTTGATTGACCAGTTTTTGTTTCCACAAGCTCCCTGGGACACATTCCATTGCTTTGATTGGCAAGTTTTAGTTCCCAATGGTTCCCTGGGACACATCCCATTGTTTTTGATTGGCCGTCGTGATTACTCTGGTTTTAATTGACCAGTAGCCTGTTCTAACGCTTGGTCTAGACGCTCAGTAAGAAGCGAAGCGCGACAGGAAGTAGCGCGATCGTAGCCGAGGAGCGAAAAAATCGAGGGAAGTTTGAGTTGGGTCGCGTAATGAACACCGCGCTCTCTACGCCGCTCGTTTTTCGCTCTGCTGCTATTTCGCTCGGATTGTGCACCGTTTTGTTGTACGCCTGGAATAGGCTAGTCGGCTAAACGTGACTTCGAGGTCAAGCTGGCTTATCATTATATCGCTGGCAGCACCCGCGGGCAAGATGAAGCGAATCCTATGTTCTGATTGGCTACCTGAGCAGGCAAGATGGGCCCATCTTGCCCGCTACCATAAACTCTCTTTTCGGCTCTCGAAATAAATAAGTTATTCTTGATTTTTATTATCAAAGCGAAATCTTTTTGCCATGCAATAAATCCTTTACTGACCAAGCTTTTTCGGTCAAAGATGACTGGATATTAGCCGAGGTCCATTTTAACGCAAAAAAAAAAAAAAAAGAATTCCACCAATATCCAGCCACCTGGTCCCACGCTTGGTCAATAACGCAGATATATTACCTGAATTCGATGAAATGGAAAGGAAATGTGGGAAAACACGAGAAAAAAATATCACGGAAAGAATGAGTCTCACCGATTCCGTGTTACTTACAATTGATCTATACACCATCCAGTCATCATCGTTTTGGCCGAATGTATCTTCTTTTGGTTTCTTGTGTGAACTTCTTGTCGTACCATCGTCACGAACTATGATGAAAACACATTTCTAGTTAACAGGTAAACCCTTCTTCTCTGTCACAGATATGCCACAAGTGGGTGTCGCTTCTTGTAATTAATCACCTACCATTAATTTTAATAGACACAATAATTGTCTCAAAGGGATTGAAATTTTTTAATTCTTCGAGGATCAGGAGGCACATTCTCTTTAACGATCAGTACATCAATTCCATGAGTGTCTTTGTCATCTAGTCAATTTCCTAGCTAAGACACTTAGCCAGACCTGTCAATAGGGGCCCGTAACCTAAAACTACTGTTACGGGTAACCTCATTTGATGTTGCGAGGGAAGATGTCGATTGCTGTCACGGTATACTTAGCCTTATATTTCCCTGCTATGGGTGATATGTCCAATGTAAAGACTGCTTCGAAACTTAGTAGCAGCCCTACTCAAAGAAGCACAAAACTTTTCCCGGCTACTGTTTTTTTCCTTGGTTGTTTCAGTCTAAGACGGCCCTTGACACTATACCTTACAGACAAAATAACACACTGGCAGAAAAATCGTTGAATCAAGGCTACACAACAATAAACTGCTTTCACTAATCATACCTACCATTCGGATCGTACGCCAGTTGTGATAGAATCCTCATTCTTTCCAAGGAGGCTTGACTTCGTCTGCTCGCCAGTTCCTCTCTCCTTTGTACGCGTTGTTGACGAGCGTCCAGTATTTCCTAACAAAATAACGTACAGCCAAGGACACATCCTCAGTTTTGGGCATCATTATTTAAGTTGTCCAGTCATAAACAACTGAAGACTTCTCAGGGAGGCACTCGCAGTATTAGCAAGACCTTCCAGAGCTGTCATGATTTTCACGCCTAAAAAAAAGGGCCTTGAACACCAATATCCTGTCCCGATTTTGCAGTATAACAAGAGGCAAGCCTTCATCATATTAGCAGTATGGATCAGATGTAATGTTCAACCAACAAAACTACTCAACACCAGTGTCATAGCAGACTTGGGCCCCCCTAGATTTGGATTCCCGGTCTCTTTCCACCAACGAATTTAGGCCCGTAATGGACAACACAAATGGTACCAATGATAAAGACAGGACCTTTTCCCTGAAACGCACCTTTCTCCTTCTGTGCAAACCCGTCAGCCATGTTTTGAACGTTTCCTCTCGTTGCACGTCCTCCTGGCTCTTCTGTTGCATTTCTTGTTTCTTCTCTTCCTTTAGTCTCTTTCCACTCTTCTCCTCCGCCATGGCTGCTCCCTTGGGAGTCCGCTGTCTCTTTTTGCTCTCGACGGCAGGCGCTTCAGATACAACGTCAACAATTTCGTCTTTCTCCTTGACCTGTAGTTATAGGGAGGTAAGAATATGTTCTTTTAAGCTCAAAAATAATCCAGTCCATTGCTCTTGGAAAGCATTCTTGCAGGAATGAACAGTTATCCGGGGGTTTTAAATAAAACCGATTACCGGCTGATCGGACGAAAAACCAAAAATAAACACTAAACTAATCTCGAGATCCTTCAGAACGGCACTAAACATAGGCTTATCTCGAGATCCAGCCGCTTATGGAAAAAGTTATTAAAACCCCTCTACAATCCTGGAAATTATGTGGTCGCACATTCGCGCTGGACCTCGAGGAAGACCCTTAAACCGGGGACAACGTTGTGTTGCAAGGGCTCAGACTTGTATTCCTCCAAAAGCTCACCTCGGAATCTAATTCCAATGCTGTCTGCATGGCTACAATCTTGTCCTTTCGCTTTTTGATAGAAGTGGTCAGATTTTTGATAGCACCTTGTAATGCCTGACAAAGAATCAACTTAGTTTTAACAACTGAGTTTAACACTTGCTTATGACGATACAGCAATAAAATCAAGCAAACCAACAAAAATGATTCAAAGAGCTTCACATAAGAAAACTTCGAGAAATGAATCCAACGATAAACGCAAGACCATTCTTGATTGACAATGACTGGGCAGACAGAAAACAGACAGACAGGAAGAAAGACAGAAAGGCAGACGGACAGACAAAAAGTCCGATAAACAGACAGATAGACAGAGATATATAAATACAAAAACATGATGAGCAGGCTGATGAAGCAAACTATCAAGAAGGCAGTTAGGGGCCTAGCAAGGCATACAAAAATCAGATAGGCACAAAAGTATTTGAAGCAAAAAGGAGATACATGTACGTGTCGTACACCTCAGAACTCTGAAAGCCTCCTGCTGCTAAAGATCTCTGCAAATGACAAACAAACAAATTTTTCCTAGAATCCTTAACTTTGACAATGAAAATGCTAAACACAACGTTACCAATCTGTCCACGCATCAAAGCTACATTTGACATACTTAGTAGTGTGGTAAAATATTACAATACCTTGAATAGCAGTGAAACAAGAAACAAATTTAGGTCATAATTCTTAACTTTGACCATGAAAATACTAAATACGATGTCACTCAACTAAATAAGCGCAAACGTCACTATAGCAAATGTAGTAAAGTTTCTCATTGGGAATAGGAAGAATAAAAGAATTGTGATCCTAGAGTCGTGAATCCAATTTCTAAAGAGTTTAAATACAATTCTACCACCCAGGGCTCGACACTAACTTTTTAACTTACTAGCCAAGAGGCTAATGACATCTTAGATGTTATGACAATTTCAGTTTGTTTACTGGCCAAACTAGTCTCCCTCGCAGGCGTTTTTTTTTGGATGTCACGCAACGCTCCCCCCAAAAAACGGCTGCTGACATCCGAACTACATTCCTTTCTCATTGTCCTTGCGGTTTGTTCGCGGTCTACTGAACAGACCAATCACATACCAGAAAATCTGAATGACGTAAGGTTTCACGAAAATGTGGATATGGCAGATGATCTAGCTATCATGTCGGGAGAAACACTGAAGAAATTTGTCAATGAGAGCTCAAATTGTTTCACATGTTCATCGTTGTGCCGTGGTAAAGATAGAGTATATATTTTTGGGAAAACTTCTCACAATGTCGTTGAAATTATAGAATCTACGCTTAACATAGACGTCAACTGCTACGCCAACGACACGAACGCTAGATTGTTTGAGCGGTTGTTAAAGTTTCAGCGAGCAACTGAGAAAGTAGAAGAAGCTAAAAACTGAACTGAAACTCTTTATTCGCACTACTTCAAGAGGTTACTACAGATTATAAAAGTCAGAATATATAAGAAACAGTAAATTACATCAATAATCAAAACGAAATACAAGACGCCTTTCAATCGAGGCCAAGGGCTAAACGCTTGCTTCGACCTACAGATGGAGATCAGGAGGAAAAAAGCGCGTGCTTGCCGTCAACAAACCGGGCGAAGGCTTCGAGAACACTGCAATTTAGGTCGGCCAACGTCTCCTACACTACTTGTACTTCTTCATTTGCCAGTCCGCTGCTAGCTGGAGTGAACCCGATTAGTTATGTTCGTGGCTTCTTATCACCGGTACAGGAAATCGGCCCGAATTATCGAGTGTTTCCGCACGTTGGTACAACGCAACAACAATAACAATAATATGACCACTTTCATCGGTAACATGGTCAAACACGAGCGGGAGTGCTTGATATATTAACGATTTCCCGGATCCTGTAGGCAACTTAACAAAAACATCTTCTTTCTCGACTAAAACTTTT